GGGGGGAACGTCTGCCTAGGGAACGGGGTGGCAACAGCCCTGATGCTTGGCATGTTTAGCATAGACCTGACAGACCACTAGTTAGTGCAGCAGGGACTGGTCCTGCACTGGTTGGGAGTGGAGCCAGCTGTCCCTGATCACTAGCAGGCCCAGCAGAGCTAATCCATCCCACATTCCCGCGCTCCTGCCCTGGCCAGCAGAGCAGCCCACCACATCTCTGCCTGGGAATGCAGGCCAAGATTTTTACAGAAGCCTTTGGTGATGCTTGAGGCTAACTTGGGATTTCTTTAAAGGGGCCTGAAGTTCAGGGCTCAGGCCCCACCCTCTGAGAACGGGGCCTTTGAAGGGGATCCAATCTGCCTCCCCATTCCAAAATCATGGACTACTCCCTGAAATCAGAGCTTCTGCTTGTGTTACCTGTATTCCCCAACCAGCTCAACTGAAAGGGAGCCTGAGCCTCTCTTGAGCCACTTCTAAGCTAGGGAGAGCATAGGATTGGCATTATATATCCTAAAAGTATAGCTCTTATTTGCTTCAAAGGGATCCCCCAAGTGAATGAGGCAGGAGCAGTCTTTCTGCAGCACCTAGCATGATGCGGTGCTGCACCATAACTGAGGTTCCTCACTACTACCCCAGGACAAATGACAAAGGGGCTTTAGATGTGCCTGAGCAGTCAGTGTAGGACCCCCTCCCCCCACTAGCCCCCAGGCTTCTCCTTAGCCTTGGGTGCCTCCCCACAGGCTCTCTGACCCACCTGGCTTTCAGGGTGTTAGAGAGCCGGATGCCATCGGCCGCTCCACATATCTGGATGAGGTCGCTGCGGGAGAGCTTCAGGAGATCTGCTCCTGGGGGGGAGGGAAGGAGGACAGGTGTGGCCCCTCCAAATCCCTATGCAGAGCAGCTCCAGGGGACTTCCTGGGGCACCTGCCTTGAGGAGGGAAGCCTCCTCCTCGCTGGAATTGAAGTGGACACATTGGGCTGTTTATTGCTGGGAGCAGAGAGAGGGCCTGAAGAGGAGCACCGGGTCCATGGGGGCTGAAGATACCAATCCAACATACCCAGCAGCCTGGGCCTACCCCCTGCATCAGTTCACTATGGTATCCAGGGCAGCAGGCAAGGAAAGGTCCTGCTGAGGGGTGGCTGCACCACACCCCATTTATAATCAGGGGCGAGTGTCTGGGATGTGCCAGTGCTGGGGTCCACAGGGGCCAGAACTCTACCCCATCCCTCCCCACATCAGGGCCTGCTCTAGGCTTCAAGTTAGCTGGGTTTCATCCATGCATCTCAGCACCTCTCTGGGACAGGCAAGTGAAAGCATCTCCTTAGCACAGGGCCAGATCTATGTAGCTCAAACCAAACCTCAGCCTCCAACCTTCCCAGTGCTGGGACAGTCAGAGCTATGAAATCCTCCTCCCTCACTTCTGTTCCTCTTCATCTCATTGGCCCCAGAGGCCAGGGAGCAAGACCTCACCTGTGAAATTAGCCAACATCCGGCAGTAGCCTGAAAATCGGTTTCTGTGCAGCCACTGCTGGGTTTCCAGGATGGAGGCGCAAGGGCTGAGAGCCTGCAGAGGATGGGCAGAGAAGAGCGAATATCAGTCACAAGCCTGATGTCTGGGGAGTGGGTTGGAAGAACATGGGATTGGCCTGAAGCACATGGCATGAGTTTATGGGTGCTCAACAAGCAAGCATCAGCCTAGGGCTTGCCTTGTACCTGAGGGAGCAGTGGCAGAGGCTGCCATTCACCCTGTTGCGATGGATCCAGCTCCACAGGTAGAGGCAGTGAGAGAGTAATGTTGGTAACCTCAAGCAACTTGTCATTGCCCCCTGAGTCTGTCCCAGCTGGGACAGGAGCCCAGAGCTGGATCTACCACAAGATGCACAAGTGAGGTGCCACCAAACCAAGGGACCTGCCCCTTCATCCTGCCCTAGCCCCTCAGGCAGGCCCTGTTTTCCTTCCCAATACCCTTGCTAGGCACAGTCTGTGTCATAGAGGTCCTTCAGAGGAGCATTTGGGGTGGGGGGACACTAAGGTTGACAGAAAGTTCAAGGTCACAGCAAGAGTGCTTATGGTGCAGCCCTATTAGATTCCAACAAAATCTGTGAATTGTGCCAAACACCTTGTTACAAGGACACGAGAAAGGAAAGGAACAGGAGCAGGGCAGGAGCGTTTGCTCCCCCAGAGACAGTCTGTCTAGCTGAAACTGCTTGGAGTCCAGGGCCTTTCCCCTGGTTGATACTGGGGTGGGTGTTAGCTTCACGTGGCACAGAGGTAGAACCAGGGACTGGGTTTCAGTGCTTAGAGATGGGGGAGCAATCGGGACTCCTGGGCTCTCTGTCTAGCTTGCCCTCCCCTGGCTGCATGTCAGGCTGAGTCACCGAATCTCTGCCTTGGTTTCCTCACTTGCAAAACAGGGGGCAAATGCCTTGTGTGACGCTACTGTTTGGGAAGTACTTTCTATCCTCTGTAAGTGGCAGGGGAAGGAATTAGACCGTATTGTATCCACTCCCCTTCCTGCCACCAGAGGGCAGCCTTACCCAGCACTGGGCAGGGGGGTTAACCCACAAGCTGCAGCTGTGCTTAGGTGCTTGCTTACCTCTGCTGTGCTCTCTGCATGGCTGTCCAAGACGCAGCTGGGAGTGGAGCATGCCCTGCAGGGGAGAAGGGATGCGCATTTATGTAGCCTCCTTAGCAGGCCTTGCAGGAGGGTGGGTGCTTGCTGGGGCCAAGAGGTCTCTCCAGCTTACCTTTCAGGAGTCAGCAGTTTGAAGGTGTGAGGAGAGGGCAGGCTGGGAGTAGCTGGAGGGCTGTGGGGACTGCTGGAAGCTTCTGGCCATGGGGCACACTGAGAATAGGAGAGGAAGAGGGTCAGGGGCTAGGTGGATTGCTGCTGTCCAGCATCACCTAAATGCAGCTGCATCTGGGGAGGAGCAGGGGACCTAATGGCCCACTCCATGCATCTGCTTCCTGGATTTGTAGTGTTGAAGACCTGCCTCACTGGGGTGTGTGGGGCCTGTGGCTTGCTAATGGGCTGTCCTAGTGATCTCACAGCCCGAGAGCTTTAGGATCCTGGCATGGCTCTTTCCCATTTCTCAATTCCCTGAAATTTTGGAGACCTCCTCCCTACAGCACTGCCCCACCCAGAGAGCTTGGGTGCCTCTGAAATCGCAGTGGCTGGGCCCCACCTCTGTCAGTACAGTGCTCTCGTAGGATGGCTGGTATTTCTCTCGCTCCTGCAGTCCCTGCTTCTCGATTTTCTCCCGATCAGTTTTCTGCTTCCTGTCTGCTCCCTTGGGCTGTGAAGCAAGCAGATACCACCCTGAGTCCACTCTCCATACCACCGTGCCAGCAGGGGTGGAGACACACATGTCACAGTGCCATGGACAGACAGGAGGGAGCATCCTCTAGTCTAGTGTCTAGAATGCAGCGGGGAAGGTGGGGGAAAAAGGCAGGACTCCTGGGTTCCCTTCCTGACTCCAGAAGCAAAGGAGAGGTATAGCCTCTACCTATATCAAGGGACAGAGAATCAGATCGCTGGGTTCCCCCACCCCCCTTGACTTAGCCTTAAGATCCAGGGGGGAAAACTTGCCCCAGGCATTGTTTCCTTAGTTGATGCTGCTTCTGTCCTGCCCCCAGGGCACAGGGAGCAGGCTGGGGCAGGGATTACCTTGAAAACCTTGACAAGGCAGCTGGCTGAGTGCAAATGCTCCATGTGCTCGCCCTTGTCATTGGCCTTGAACGTATCCACCTGGATGCGGAAGGGGACGCCCTTCTCGCCCCCATTCTTGCGTAGTGTAAACTCAGTACTGATGCAGTGAACCTGCCCAGAGGGGGAGCAAGGGGGAGGGGGGTAATCAGAGGAGCTGCCTGACCTTCCCCCAGCCATCCTCCTCCAGCCAGGCCCCCCTGCCCTTACCTGGACGAAGACAGACGTCCGCTTGGTGGGGTCCCACAGGAACTCCACTGTATTGAGCAGCGTAGGGTGGATGTGTGGCTCCAACATGCCAACCGAGAGTGGGATATCTGTGGGAAGCGGGCAGTAGGCTGAGGTGGAACTTGTGCCAGGAAGAGGCGGGCAAGGGGCAGAGGGAGCCCAGATACCAAGGGGATGGGTGCAGAGCAGGTGCCTCCATAGAACACTTAGGGGCATATGGTGTGTGTGGCCAGGAGCCTCCCTGCCTGGCCCCCTGCCATGCAGTAACTTGGGGTTCCTGTCATCAACCTTGGTTCTACCTGCCCCCCCACCCTGCAGGCCTTTCCCACAGCAGAGCCACTCAGCACTTCTAGGCAGCCCTAAATTAGCTTTGCAGCCTCAACTGGGGCTGTAGGGAAAGGGGGCATCCTGCCCCAGGGTCACAGCGGTGTCCCCTCTGGCCACCAAACCATGCTGCTTCCCCAAGCTAGGAATGGAACCCTGGAGTCCTGGCTCCCAGCCCTGTGTGCTCCAGTGGCTTCCAAGGCTAAAACCACTGTAGTCATGTCACTACTGGTTTCTTCAGCATAAGAAGAGGCAGCTTTTCCTGGGCTGAAGGCAGCATTTCCAGCACTTTTGCTACTCTACCTGCTCTGCTTGCTGCAAAGCTCCCACCTTTTCATCCACCTTTACCTGGACAGAGGCATAAAAATTCTGCAGAAGATGGACCAGGAGTCAAGTCAGATCCAAGTCACACAAACCCAGTATGGCTTTTCTGTGCCCCCAGAGTCTATTCCCAGCTACACACAAGCTCCAGTTCTGGTCATTGTCCTATCTCAGGGGAGCCCAGCCCAACCCTCAGCTCCTATAGGGTCCTTGATAAACCTCAGAAGCTGCAAACAGACATCACATTGATCCTGGGATAATTTTAATTGTAGCCATTTTAATCCTGTTTTAGCCAATTCCAGCCATTTTAATCCTGTGACAAAGTGCAAGAGTACAGACATCCATGTCCTTTATCTCGGGATAAATACTAAAGTTTCCCAGATAAAATGTTAGTAACAGTTTATCCCAGGATATAGCAAAGTACATGGGCACAATTATCCTGGGACAGCATCATTGAATCAAATGACAGATAAGCGGCAGTGCATCCAGCAACTCACTAAACTTTGATCAGAAGGGTATTGCATGCACATGACAATCCTGGGATATTTCTATTCTGGGATAAACACAGGCACTAAGTATCCCACCTGATCCCCATTCAGTTTTTGTTGCACTCACGCACCCCCCTGCTCCCTTTCCTGCTTTGGCTGATGCCTGACTCACCGATATCCAAGATGCGGTCACCTGGGCGGTTCCACCTCCAGCCCTCCAGCTGCTGGTGCTCTGTGTACTGCAGACGCCGGTCATGGAACACCACACGCACCACACTCTGTGGTGGGAGGAGAGACAATGTTGTCAGGAGCCAGTGCCAGCCTCAGCTACTGTCATAGCACCTGGGATGTGGTCCACAGGGCTCCCCAGGCTGCAGCAAAGGCTATTGTGTGCATGTGTGTGATGGAAATGTGGCAGCCCCAACTGAGGCCAGCCACCTTGCCAGGCTGAAGAGGATGTGGCCTTTGGGGAAGTATAAGAAGGAAAAACCTAGTGGCACGTGGCCATAACAGTGGGAAATCCAGAGCCCAGCCTCTGCCTGTCCCAGTAGTGGCATTTGCCTTCTCAGGGTCTCCTGCCAAGTGTCAGTTTTATGACTTCTGCTTTTTCCTACACAGCCAGACTGAAGAAGAGCCATCATGCAATGCCACCTGGAACAGACGCTGCCCAGCTCCCTGCCTCCTCACCTTCAGCAGCTTGCGGCACTCAGAGAAGTCTCCCAGCTTGGGGTTGCACAGCAGCCGGATCTCATAGGACTGGCCTGGAAGAGACAATACGGAGCTGAGCCGGAAAGCCAGGGCTGGGATCTCCTCACCATGCAGGTGAGCGAGGGCCTTGTCCTGGGAGCAAAGGTAAGGCATGAGTCACAGAGCCAGAGGGGAGGGTCCCTGGGGGAAAGTCTTCACCAAACTCTTCTCTAGTCTGCAGTCAGCTCAAGGCCTCTGGGCCCTTGGGCTACTCGTGATCCCCTTCAAAAGGATGCAGGCAGGCTTGGCTTGAACAGCCAGCACCACAGGGGTGCTCATGCACCCATGAGTGCCTTCCCCATGAGGGGCAGGAAGAGGGAGATGCAGGACCCCCCCCACCCATGCCTGACCACAGCCCACATCACTCACCTTGGTTCAGGTAGGTGAGGGTCTCCTCATGTTGCTTGATGGCAGGTGAGGTGGCAGCACAGAGCACATACTGGAAAGCAGGGCAGTGCAGCTCCGCTGAAGTGGAAATGTTGTTCTGCTCCTCCTGCTTCAGAAAGGGCAGCGCCAGGGGCTCCCTGCCGCAGAAGAGAAGGCATATTCTGGGGATGCTGGGGGAGGGGGCCAGCTTCCACTCCAGGACCCCACCTTCCAGCACTGTGGAAGGGACTGATCCTAGGTGTGGATGGTAGGAGCACAAGTCTCCCTTCCCTGTCCCCTACAGTGGGCACAGCCTGAAGAACTGAGCACAGGCCTGGGAACCCAGCAGTGTCAGCATCCTGATCTCATCCACTCAGGCGAGGCATGGATTTGTTCCTGTGCCTCTGTTTCTCCTCCCGGTAATGTGGACAGTGATCCTGACCCCACCCCAGCACTCGCTTCAGCCCTGAGCACCCAAGGAATGCTTATCTGGGCAGAATTAGGAGGAAGGGTTTGGACTACTTCACTTGAGTGTTGTGGACATGTCCGCCAACCAGCATGGGTCCCTCTGCCCCTTTGCATTACATTGGGAGCCACAAGGGGAAGATTCTGCCTTGATTCCTGGGAGGGGGACAGGGGCTGCTGGGAATTTCCAAGCTCTGCTTCCAGCCTCCCAGAGAAGATGGTGGGTGCTTGGGCAGTGGTGGGTGGGGAGGTGAGGGGAGTCCACATGACTTTATTCCCCTCTAGTGGCAAAGCTGAAGGGGTGGCAGCTGGTTCTGTGTCACTGGAGATGAAACCATGTGCATTCAGTTCTGGAGGGTACAGGCTCAGTCCGTGATCCTGGCCCTTCCTGGGGTTCGGGAGGGGCACAGAAGGGCTCAAAGTCCCAGCCTCCACTGTGGTGTGGGAGTGCTCAGCCCTTCTGCACACTGCATCTGTGAAGCCAGAAGGCCTCATGTCTAACCTAGCTGTGGCTCTGCATGGCATGAGGCCACCTGCATGCATAGCAACTGTGCCCAAGACAGGGTGCTCAGAGCATAGCCAGGCAGGTCAGGGATGCTTTGCTGAAAAGCATACTGGTGCCCTGCCTTGCCCGCCTGCTGGGCTGGAATCTGCCAGCTGGATTGTCACAGATGGGTAGGAATCCACTAGGACCCCTGCTGCAGAGAGAGGTAGGAGAGGGGGAGCCTGCCCCTTAGAAAGGTCCCTGCTACAAGGTAGTTCCCCCTCCCCAGCCCATTTGTATATCTGTAGCTTCCCAGAGACCCCAGCACTGAAGCTGTGCATGCATATCTGCTCTCATAACAGTCCTGTCTGCTTCTGAGACAGGATCTCACAGAAGAATTGACATCTCTGCTTCACAGAAGGGAAACTGAGGCATGGTGGGGACAACTGGGCCAATGTCCCAGAGTGTGGATTCCAGGTTCACCCTTACCTCACTGGTACTGGCACTGTGGGAAACAGGACCCCATTACTGGCTGGCACCTGGGGGAAGGTCAAGGAGGGTGGTGTGAGGGCTTCTTACCTGAGCAGGTTGTTGCCAGAGCATGGGTACATCTCCCCTGGACCTGGCCAGTAGTGCTCGGGCTGGCTGTGCCAGAAAAGCATGGTCGAGCTGAATAGGTGGATCCTGGGATCAAGCAGAGAGCAGGTCCTGCAAGGCTGTAGAACGCAGCCCCTTGCACCTGCCTTTAAGCTTACCTGGTGGGTGTGTGCAGGGAGCTGCACTCTGGGATTGGCTGGCATCCAGACAGGGCTGAACAGGTAGAGTGGGGAGGGAGTGGTAGGAGGAGAGGGAAGGGACCTGGAGCCTTTCCCCTGCTGCTACCCGGTGCCGAATTGTACAAGAGATGGGCGGTTGTTGCTGGGGCGAGAGTGGGCCATGCCAGGTGCCTCCTACTCATGCTGAGAGCCAGAGACAGGCTCCCCTTCCCTAATGATTAACTTCAGGCCATGGCCCTGGGGCAGCAGGGACCCAGAGGGAGGTGGTACAAGCAGAAAAACAACTCAAGGCAACTTCCCAAGGAGATCTGGCAGGGGCTGGGAAGGAGGGGGTTAACCCCCAACCAAAAAAAGTGTGGTGGTGGTGAACAATTACAGCCAGAAAGCAATGTAGGAAAGGGTCTCCCCTTCCTGCCCTCCCCTAAGCCAGCTGCTGTCCCTTTGAGGTCTGTGGTCTGCCCTAAACACACTGTGTGCATCTGGGATTCAGCTGGCCAGCCTGTGGCTTGTGCCATGATGTCCCCTGCTCATCCTTAGGACTGTAGCATATGCAGCCCCCTCTATGCCCACAGGTGCAGCACCCATGCGAGGGAGCCCCAGATGCCTAAAGTGCTGCTGAAAGCAGCCAGACTTCCATGGGGTCTCCCTCCTGTCATGGGCAGCCTGAAAATGTTTGTTCTTCTGAGCCTCGCAGGGGGACTTCGCTGAGTCAGAAGCAAACAGTAGCTGGGTTAGCACATGTCCAGACCAAGCCAGGGCGTGGCTTTAGGGTAGTGAACAACAGAGGGTATTAGGCAGGCAGAGCCTGCCATGTTAGGCCTAGGCATTGTGCTGTTGACCTACAGAGCAGGGTCAGAAGAAACATATCCCCTTTTTACTGATGGGTGAACTGAGGCAAAGAACAGGGGAGGCTGGTGGCAGAGCTAGGAGTATGTCTCCCCAGTCTGATTACCCAAAACTGGGTGCTGTCTGGACCCACAGTGTACCTGCCCCTGAACCAAGACCTCCGGTCCAAATCAGTGTCAATGTTCTCCTGGGCACCACCCTTTGGTCCTCCCTTTTGGTCCCAATTCAGGGAGGACACTTAAGCCCTTGCTCTGGTGCTGAGCACAGGGGTGGATCTGAGTGTGCCTTGCAGAGCTCTCCTGCCTCTGGGCCTTAGGCCCTCCCTCCATGCCCCAGATCAGCCCCTCAATCCCAAATGCTCTGAGCCTTCACCTGCTTCCCAAGAGTGGGTATGCTGGGGCTTGACAGCTCTGGAAAACCTGAGTCTGAAGTGGGTCTTCCTCCCCACAAGGCTGTGGGACAGCTGGCATCCAGAAAGCTTTTCCAGGGAAAGTGTTCATCACAGGGTACAGTGAGCTGAGAAGCAGGTGAAGAAAAGGGCAACAGACTATGCTTAAAAGTACAGACACAGTGGGGTGGCCGGGCTGCGCAGTCAGCACCAGCACCAGGGAGCATGTGAGCTTCGCCACAGCAGCTGTGGAAAATGCAGCCCCGCTGGGACTTGGAAATCATTAGTGCTCCTTGAACAGCGCAGCTCGGGCCAGGTTGAGGGCAGGAGCACTTCACCTGTACCAGCAGCTAGGGCAAAGCTCCCCCGCGTACATGCAGTTGTACCAGCAAAGCAGTGTCTCTGCAGCATCCGGCCCTCCATGAGTACAATGAGCTGCCTGGAAAAAGCTCAGTATCCTAGCAGGGCTGAACTGGTCAGAGCAGTTCACCTCCGTTTTCTTCACCTCCGTTTTCTTGTGCAGGGACCGGGACTTCCCTGCTGTGATAGAAGCCGGATTTGAGGGGATTGCCTTCAGACCTCAGGTTGGGGAGGACCGGGTTAGAGAGCTTCTGGAGGGGCTGGACGCGTTCAAGTCAGCGGGTCCAAATGCTCTCCACCCCAGGGTGTTGAGGGAGCTAGCTGGGGTTATTGCGGGGCCCCTGGCACGGCTCTATGAGTGATCGTGGTGCTTGGGCCAGGTGCCAGATGATTGGAAGGTAGCAAATGTGGTCCCCATCTTCAAGAAGGGGAAGAGGGAGGACCCGGGTAACTATAGGCCCGTCAGTCTTACCTCAATCCTGGGGAAACTCTTTGAGAAGATCATCAAGGA